GAGTGTAAACTGTAAACTCTAGGGGATAGATACATTACAGAGAAAGTAATTAACCCGAAAAGATATCTCATAAACCCTTCATTGAGGGTTTAGGGTTTAGGGTTTGAGGGTTTAGGGTTTAGGGTTTGGGGGTCGAGGGTGTATGGCTTCAGGGCTTATGGTTTTGAGGGTTTAGGGTTTTGGTTGTCAAGGGTTTAGGGTTTAGAGTCTGAGGGTTTAGGGTTTCAACTAAGTATACAGGAGTGTAAGGGTCTAGGGTTTAGGGTTTAGGGTTTAGGGTTTAGGGTTTTGCGGTGTATGCGCAGTACTGCATTGTAGACAACGAAGGAGGCAAACGCATCTCCCGCAGATATCATAGAAAACTAGAAAGCCCTAAACCCTAAACCCTAAACCCTGAACCCTAAACCCTAGACCCTAAACCCTAAACCCTAGGCTTTAGATCGGCTCAAAACTGTCGCTAAGCGTCATATGCTCGACAGGTTCATTTTTTTGCTGCTGCTGCTGCAGCAGCAGCAGCAGCAGCAGTTGCAGCAGCAGCAGCAGCAGCAGCAGCAGCAGCTGCTGCTGCTGCTGCTGCTGCTGCTGCTGCTGCATGCAGGTATCTATGACTTTGCTGCAACCATTTGTTTGTTTCTATTTGTGACGCCCGGCAGCAACGCAAGCAGAATTCTTTAAACCCTAAACCCTAAACCCTAAACCCTAAACCCTAAACCCTCGTAGCCATATAAATGTAGGATTCGACGGAGTTTATAATACAAACAAAATTATAATAAGAAGCAACTAAAGTACCCCCCAACAAGCTCTGAAACCCTAGTAACCCTAAACCCTAAACCCTAAACCCTAAACCCTAAACCCTAAACCCTGATAGCGTTACGGCTTCCATACAGGAGGGTTTAGGGTCTGAGTCAATATTAGGGTTTAGGGTTTAGCTAGGGTTTAGGGTTTAGGGTTTAGGGTTTACAGATACGCTCATTAGTTTAGGGTTTACGGAAGAAGTGAAATTCAAAAGGGGTTTTCCTTGCCCACGACAAACCCTAAACCCTAAACCCTAAACCCTAAACCCTAAACCCTAAACCCTCAGGGTTTAGGGTTTAGGGTTTAGCTTCAGATGTATGCTGCAGTACATGCAGCTACTTGCGAAGGAAAGAAACCCCAAGAGGAGACAATGCGTACTGAGGATATAGCTTCTGCTGTTGCTGCTGCAGCAGCTGCTGCTGCTGCAGTTGCTGCTGCTGCAGTTGCTGCTGCTGCAGTTGCTGCTGCTGCGGTTGCTGCTGCTGCGGTTGCTGCTGCTGCAGTTGCTGCTGCTGCGGTTGCTGCTGCTGCAGTTGCTGCTGCTGCGGCTGCTGCTGCTGCAGCAGCTGCTGCTGCAGTTTATGATTCGTTGTCGAGGCCATTGGCCACCTGCTGCAGTTGCTGCTGCT